TGATTTTCTCAAGAGTCTTCTTTCAGATCTATACTGAAATAAAACAAATGAAATCATTTGTAGAATTTTCTTCACGGTAATCCAGTAGGGTCTAGGGAAAGTAGGTAGGGGAAGAGATAAATCGTGTCTCTTAACTGTTTGTGTTTTGAAATTTTCCATACTAAACCGTTCAAAAGGGAAAAAGGAAAAACACCATTCTCAGGGTCACCAACAAAAACTGAAAACAAGAACAGTTTGAATTTTGTCTCCAAGCCTTACAAACCGAGCAGCCCTGGTCCCTCACACAATTTCTTAGCGTCCCTATTGATTAAATGGAGACAAACACCACCTAATAAATTCATATTTGTTCAAGCCAAAAGCCTGGATTATATCCTTAACTTCTTTGACTTTGCTAGTCTCCCACATCTAGACTCCACCAAATCCTGTCTTTTCCATCACTGTGGTCTCATACCATTTCAGCGGCCTCCTTTCAGCCTGTTGTTCACATTTGCATCCAGCGTGGTGCTACTACAATGCAAAATCCAATCAGGTTATCCTCAGCCCCACTGAAAATCGTTTTTTTTTTTAAATAGAGTCTCACTTTTTACCCTCCTTGATTCCTTAAAATGGCTTACAAGGCCCTTCATTTTCTCATACTGTATCTCTTCAATTTCCATCTCTCCATGCTCTGAAGTACAGTGGTGCGATCTCAGCTCACTGCAGCCTCCACCCCACAGGGTTCCTGTGGTTCTCCTGCCTCAGCCTCCCAAGTGGCTGGGATTACAGACGCATGCCATCATGCCCAGCTAATTTTTTGTAGTTTTAGTAGAGACAGGGTTTTTTCATCACGTTAGCCAGGCTGGTCTCGAACTCCTAACCTCAAGTGATTCACCCGCCTCAGCCTCCCCAAACTGTTGCCATTTACAGGCATGAGCCATAGCCCCCAGCCTGAAAAATGCTTAAACGGCTTTCAATCTGCTTCAAGATAAGAGTGCTCCTTTAAATTTTTTTACCCTTCTTGATTCCTTAAAATGGCTTATAAGAGGCAGGGCGCGGTGGCTCAAGCCTGTAATCCCAGCACTGTGGGAGGCCGATGCGGGTGGATCACGAGGTCAAGAGATCGAGACCATCCTGGTCAACATGGTGAAACCCCGTCTCTACTAAAAATACAAAAAATTAGCTGGGCATGGTGACGCGTGCCTGTAATCCCGGCTACTCAGGAGGCTGGGGCAGGAGAATTGCCTGAACCCGGGAGGCGGAGGTTGCGGTGAGCCGAGATCGCGCCATTGCACTCCAGCCTGGGTAACAAGAGCGAAACTCCGTCCCAAAAAAAAAAAAAAAAAAAAATGCTTATAAGGCCCTCCATTTTCTCATACTGTCTATTTCTTCAACTTTCATCTCTTCCCATTCTCTTTGACTCCTTTATGTTTTTTTTAGCTTTGGTAACATTCTTTCAGCTCTTTCATTATACTGTGTACTCTGAGTATAGCTTCAGTGTTCATGCCTGGAATGTTCTTTCCACCCATCATCACTGCCTTGCCTGGCTAGCTTCTTCATCCTTCAAGTCCCAAGTTAAACAGTATTTCCTCAGAAAGATCTTCCCAAATTGCTTCTATGCTAAGTTGGGTGTCTTCTGACACCTACACAATACAGTATTTGTTCCTACAGGATCTGTAGTTACCCTATCACAACAGTCTCTACTTGTTTGTAAAGAGTATTTGCTGTGGCAATTATGAATTTAATCTGTTTTCCAGCTAGAGTATAACTCTAGGAGGGCAAGTGATAAAATGTGTTCACTACTGAATCCTAAGTCTCTCATAGGGCCTCACAGTAACAAACTGCTGAATATATAAAATTCACAACAATCTGGACTGTTTTCCTCATACCCAAGTTCTATCTTCCTAGTCCTCAAATGCAACAAAAACAAGACAGCCTCACACCTGTAATCCCAGCATTTTGGGAGGCCAAGGTGGGTGGATCATGACGTCAGGAGTTCAAGACCAACCTGGCCAAGTTGGTGAAACCCCATCTCCACTAAAAATACAAAAATTAGCCGGGCATGGTGGCTGGTGCCTGTAATCCCAGCTACGGGGGAGGCTGAGGCAGAGAACTGCTTGAACCCGGGAGGCGGAGGCTGCAGTGGGCCAAGATAGTGCCACTGCACTCCAGCCTGGGCAATGGAGCAAGATTCCATCTCAAAACAAAACAAAACAAAAAAAACAAGAAGACAGCCAAGTAGGCATTTACAGAGATCTTAATCTTGCATAGGAGAGAGCATTATAAAGTGAATTGAAAACATGATGGGAATGCAGAACATAAGAAGTTGGGAAATCTATTTTCAGACTGAGATATTTTGTATCCAAATTTACAATCTTAAAGAAAACTCCGGAGTGTCAATCTAACAATCTATTTTTTTTTCAACCTAACAATCTAATAAAAATGAGTCCAATGACACACATAGTTCCCACCGAGCCATTAACAAATTTTCAGACCTAAGATGTTAGATCACTTAATCCCTCCAGCCTCAGTTTCCTTTTGTGTAAAACAAAGGATCCTGACCAGCTGCTCATTAGGATCCTTTGCAGAGCTAATATATGCCCATATTAAGTGGCCAAAAGATGTAAACTTCAGAAACACCAATCAGTTACTTTCTTCCTATAGTGATATTTTTTTCCTCTTTAATCTGTTTTAAGGACATTATAGCCTATCCCATTACGCTTACAACTAAACCTTCAAATCTATTCAGCTATAAAAATCTCACGAAATGCTCCTCAGATTATTAACTTGCATATTTAGCAAGAGTAACTGCAATATGATGAAACAGCGTCTACCTAAACCCAAAATGAATTACTGGAATACATTCAATTTCTGTATAAATACAAAATCTTACTACGTGTTTTAAGTGTTAGATATCTTGAATCTTGGTCGTTTCTATGGCAACCTGAAGACAAAATTGTACCCCAGGGTGTCAGACTTGAATTTATGGGTACTATTTAACATCTAACTAAAAACTGAAGACACATAGTCTTTGTACCACCTCCCTGGGATGGTGGTTAGGATAAAAATTGTGGAAACCAGAGTAATTTTTGGAAAAAAAAAAAATTTCAAAACAAGTTATAGTAAGTTATGGTAAATAAAGTAGCTCGTAAACATTTTACTGTTATTAGTAGCAGCACAGTTTCTAATCAGCCACTGAAAACCCAAGGAAAGACTAAAGTAGTAACAAGTTTGTCTCCTGGTTTAGATTAATTACAAACTAGTTTTGGCAACTGCTTGTTGCATCAAATATGTCACAACAAAGTAATAAAATGTTAAAACGCATGCTGGAAAAAAAAAAAAAGGGACGTACTTGGAACAAAAAGCTTGCATCGGACTAAGAGTAATGCTATCCTCCAGATTTCTCTCAATAAGGCCGCCTTAAGTCCCTGAGTAGAAGGGCGCAGCGGCGGACGCCCGCAGCCACAGGTTGAATGACAAAGAACCTCCGTCAGCACCATTCCCGGGAATCTGAGGGCTGCCCTGTCCCCTTCGCAACGTCTACTCGAACCCTACAGTCACGCCTTGGCTGTAGGGGATGCGGCTCTCTGTATCACTCTCGCAAGTCACCAGGTGGGGCAAGGATCAGCGGGGCGGAGAAGGTTGGGGCAGATAACGCTACGAATCAAAAATAACTCCTGTCTCGAGTCCCTTCCCTTGGAGCAGAAGCGGCCAGCGGAGTCTGGAGATACCACAGGAAGCAGCCTCATGTTACCCCTTTTCCAAATCAAAGCATCTCTCAAGGAGCCTACTGAAGACTCTATAGAGGTGAGGGGACTTCCCCAAGGTCACCAGGCACCACGACGCAACTCCTCGGCCAGGTCTGGGGCCGGCATCTCACCCGGGGCGCCGCGGCTGTGCTGAGACAGGCGCTGTCCTCAGCGCCTCAAGGTCTCCTTCACCAGCACTGCAGCCGAGGCCACGCGGCTGCCTGCGGCCACGATGCCCTCTGCTGGGCCGCCTCTCTCCCCCGGAGACAAAGTCTCCCAACCCCAGAGGTCCCCTCCGACCCCACCAGGGCAACGAGGGCACCGCGGGGTCCGCGCTGAGTGCCGCCAGCTGTTAGCCAACTAACCGTTATATTCGCGGATCGCAGCGCCAAGCGTGTGCGTGACGTGGTAGCGCGGGCTGGAGTTCCACGGGGCCCAGGGTCTGGCTCCTCTCCTTCGCTCGCTGCCTCGTTTGCTTGTTCGAGCACCCAGGCGGCCAGGCAGTCACGTCGCAGCTCTCCACTTTGGCCCGGCCGGCGCGGCTGCCTTATAACCCGCCAGGGCCCGAGCATGCGCACAGGGGGCGGAGTCGTCTCTCTGGGCCGCCGCCCCCTCCCCGCCATACTGACATCCGAACTGCAGCTAGCGCCTCCACATGCTCTCAGCCGCGCTGGCGCCCCCTCCCCACCAAGTGATCCAGGTCCCAGTCGGACCCGCGCGCCGCGCCCCTGCAGGGCGGCGCGGAGCCACCGCGCCCTGCCAGACGCGTCCCTTGGTCCCTATTTGACGAGCTCTAGGCAACCTGCCCTCGTTCGGGACACAAACGTCGGTCTCACCCCTCAGTTTTTGTCAGAGAAAAAGGAAGAACCACCGAGAGGCCTGACCCTGGGGGGGCGGCGGGCGATGCGCGCGCGGAGTAGCGGGAAGCGACTGAAGAGGGGGCTAGGCAGCATTTGAATGGACGCGGGTGCCACTGGGACCCCGGAAAACGGCCGGGGGCCGGCGCTGTGGAGCCGGGCTTGGACTGGGATGTGTTTGGATTCCAATCCGGGCCTGACACCAGTTCAGTGACCTCGGGAAGTTCCCCAGCCCTCCGGGCCTGTTTCCTACCCCCGAAGTGGCGACGGTAATAGAACCGACCTCGTAGGCTCATCGGGAGGTCCTGATGGGAGACTCCGTGCAACTTGCTCACCACGGAGCCAGGCCCGCGGCGGTTGGCGCCTGGTGGGTATTAAAGACAACTCGGGAAAGAAGAGCAGGTAAGAGCGTGGGGAGACTGGCCCGGTGGGGTGGCGTGTGCGCGTCGGCCACGTGGGGAAGCGAGAATGCAGGGGCCGGAGGCTTAGGGACGATGCCTGTGTGGGGCAGGATAGAATTGTAGCAGGCGGCGCTGGGGCTGATGCGTCTCACCCGGATTATCCTCTGTAATCCTCACAGCCCTGTGAAGTAAGCACTGCCGTGAACATTTTGTAAATAAGGGACCCGAGGCCCAGAGAGGTGAAGTAACTTTCCAGATGGCCCAGCTAGTTAGCGGCCAGCATTTGAAGTCAGACTCCAGGGTCTGTTTTTATCCTAAGAGCCGCTATGACTGGATAAGCAACATGTGTGTGTTTAAGTGATCAAATAACCATGGAGTGTGTCTGATGTCCAGGACTTTTGAGAAATACCGGAAAAGTATGAGGCAAGGCCCCTGCCTGCAAAGAGCTTGCAAGTTTTGCGGGGAGACTGAGTCAGGCACAAATTAACGAACCACTGTTGAGCACTTGCTGCTTGCCAGAACCCAGCCCTTCCCCTCGAGTCTTCCTCCGTTACCCTCCCCCTCAATTCTCACAAAAACCCTGGGAGGTAGGCCTTAGTTTGCAAATGAAGAACCCGAGATTGAAGAAGAGTAGAGATTGGAGGATCAGGTCCTGAGAGGTCCCAGGTGCTTTCCAATAACAGTTCAGTATGTTAGAAGACAGTATGGCATTCATGGCCAAGTACTACTTGTGAGTAATACAGTAATTGCTTTTTACATTTGATAAACACAGAGAAAGGAAGTCACTGGGGCAGCCAGGACTTCTAAGAGCAGTGCTAGGGGGGCAGCAGCATTCAGGTAGATGGTAAGGAGAATTAAGTTAGAGAGACTGGAGAGTCTGGTTCAGATGTAAACTTATAAGGGCCTGTTCTATGGTATGTAGCGAGAAGTGGTTAAAAAAGGAACCTCAAAAGAAGGCTTATAGAGCCCCGTAGTGTGGTGATTCACAGTATAGACCTGGGAGCCAGATCTGTTGAGTTCCAAATTTGATTCTTGCACTTACCAGCAATATGCCCTCAGGCAAGTCATTTCACGGTTCCAAGCCTCTCGACTCTGTAAAACAAGGATAATAGCTACCTCAGGGTTATTATGATAATACAATTGATATTTATTTCAGCCCAGCACAGTGGCTCAAACCTCTAATCTCAGCACTTTGGGGGGCTGAGGCAGGTGAGTCACTTGAGGCCAGGAGTTCGAGACCAGCCCGGACATGGTTAACCCTGCCAATACTATAAATATAAAAATTAGCAAGGCATAATGGCACACGCCTGTAGCCCTAGCCACTCGGGAGGCTGAGACAGGTGAATTGCCTGAACCCGTCCGTGAGGCAGAGGTTGCAGTGAGTTGAGATCTCACCACTGCATTCCAGCCTGGGCAAAAGAACAAAACCCCACCTAAAAAAAAAAAAAAAAAAAAAGTATTTATTTCAGTGTCTAACATATATAAAACACTACATGAAACCTAACCCTAAAGATTAACCCTAGAGGCCCTTTCCTTGAATAGACCCCAAGGAGGCCCTGAGAAGGGCCTTAACAGTATGTTTACAGGATAATACTTTGTGTTGTATTGTAGTTTTGTACTCCTATCCTTGAAGATAGTCATCAAAATTATAGGTACCTCAAGTGCTACAAAACCTGGATCTACCTTAATAGAAATTTCAGTGTTGTGAAAAGAAAACTTCAGAATCAGAAGACCTGGTCCCGGTTGGGTGTGGTGGCTCATGCCTGTAATTCCAGCACTCTTGGAGGCCAAGGAGGGTGGATCACCTGAGGTCAGGAGTTCAAGACCAGCCTGGCCAACATGGCCAAATCCCGTCTCTACTAAAAAATGCAAAATTTAGCAGGGCATGGGGGCATGTGCCTGTTATCCCAGCTACTCTGGAGGCTGAAGTTAGAGAATCTCTCAAACCCCAGAGGTGGAGATTGCAGTGAGCCAAGATCGCATCACTGCACTCCAGCCTGGGCGACAGAGTGAAACTCCATCTTACAAAAAAAAAAAAAGAAGAAGAAGAAGAAGACCTGTCCCATAACTGCTATCTGTGTTATTCTGGGCAATTAATTCAGTGAACTTTCCTGGGCTTTAGTTGCCTCACCAGGTAAATTAAAAATAATACCTACCAGTTTGAACTGTTGTGCTAATCAAATGACATAGTATCTGCAGAAGTCATGGGTAAAACTTGGAAAGTATTCTGTATTTATAATTAATGTCATAATTTGTCTAAAGTACATAAAAGGGAAAAACCAAAAGCAACTCCAAGGCTCTTACCTGGAAAAATAGAAACAGGGTGGTGGGTGAGCTGGTGAAAATAATAATACAAGTACACTTCTTGCTCTTCTGCCAGATTTTCTTCCTGATTTGAGGCACACGATTTTGAAGAAATGAACTACGAAGCTTAGGATGAGAAATCAGAGTGGAGATGAACTTGGAGATTATCTAAGGCACCCCTGACTTTTTACAGAAATGGAAATTAAGGCTCAGGGATGCTAAAAGACTTTTCTGAGGCCTCCTATCTAATGATTGGCATGATCAGAAACCCCAGGTTCTTTAAGTATAAAGAACAAGTACAATCTTTAAGATAAAAGTATTTTGTCATGGGAGTCTTTCAGAATCATTACATCAGAACCAGAGAAGGCCTGGTGCTCTCTACTGGCTTTTAGCTTTATCACAAAATTCTTAGGATTCACCTTTCTGTTTTAAAGGTTGATAGACTGGATGATGCTATGGTAATCTGCCTCAGGAAAATGCCGGACAGTAGTTTGCAAGCTTGCTAAGTGAGCAAAACTTGGGAAGATTTCAAGGTAAGAGTTGTAACTTCAGAAATTAGTGATGAAATAAGAAATGCAAATGCAAACTTCGAAAGGTATGATATAGGTACTCTTCAAGCTGAGTTAATTGTTCTATTGCTTTATCTGAAAAAAGAAAAATAAAATTACACTGTGTTCTCTGGAACTCACGTACTTAACTTACATTCCCTTAGTTACTCCATCATTTCTGTGATGTAGTAAATAGGAAGGTGCTATTTTGCCCATTTCAGTAATAATGAATACAGGAAAGGATTCTTTTTTTATTTGACACATTGTAATTGTACACATTGCTGGGTTACAGTTTGGTGTTTCCATAATACAAATGCTGTATACTGATCAAATCAGGGTACTTAGCATATCTCTCACCTCATGTTATTTTGTAATATATAATATCATATTATTAAGGGCAACCCTACTGTGCAGTAAAACACCAGAACTTGGCCAGGTCTGGTGACTCATGCCTGTAATCCCAGCACTTCGGGAGGCCGAGGCAGGTGGATCACCTGAGGTCAGGAGTTCCAGACCAGCCTGGCCAACGTGGCGAAACCCCGTCTCTACTAAAAATACAAAAATTAGCCAGGCGTGGTGGCACGCACCTGTAGTCCCAGCTACTCGGAAGGCTGAGGCAGGAGAATCGCTTGAATTCTGGAGGCGAAGGTTGCAGTGAGCTGGGATTGTGTCACTGCACTCCAGCCTGGGTGACAGGAAGACTCTGTCCCCCAAAACAAAACAAAACAAAAAAGGCCAGGTGTGGTGGCTCATGCCTGTAATCCTAGCACTTTGGGAGGCCAAGGCAGGTGGATTACCTGAGATCAGGAGTTCAAGACCAGCCTGGCCAACATGGTGAAACCCCATCTCTACTAAAAATACAAAAATGAGCTGGGAGTGGTGGTGGGTAATCCCAGCTAATTGGGAGGCTGAGGCAGGAGAATCGCTTGAACACGGGAGGTGGAGGTTGCAGTGAGCCGAGATCGTGCCATTTCACTCCAGCCTGGTCAAGAGGAGCGAAACTTCATCTCAAAAAAAAAAAAAAAAAAAAAAGCCTTGCCCAACCCAGTGTCGTAAAGCATTTCCCCTGTGTTTTCTTTTAGTAATTTCCTAGTTTCAAATTTTATATTGAAGTCTTTAATCCATTTTGAGTTGATTTGTGTATATAGTGGAGACAGGGTCTAGTCTTAGTCTTCTGCACGTGACTTTCCATTTTTCCCAGCACCATTTATTGAAGAGACTATCTTTTTCCCAGAGTATGTTCTTGGCACTTTTGTTGAAAAACACTTGGCCATAGATGCATGAATTTTTTTCTGGGTTCTATTGTGTACCATTGGTCTCTGTGTTTGTGTTTATGCCAATACCATGCTGTTTTGGTTACTATAACCTTGTAGTATATTTTGCAATAAAGTACTATGGTGCCTCAGCTTTGTTATTTTTGCTAAGGATTGGTTTGCCTTTAAGAGTCTTTTTTGGCTCCTCATGAATTTAATGATTGTCTTTATTTCTGTGAAATATATCATTGGTATTTGATAGAGATTGTATTTAGTTTGTAGATTACTTTGGGTAGTATGGCTGTTTTAACAATATTAGTTCTCTCATGCACATGAGATGTCTTTTCATTCATTTGTGTCTTCTTCAGTTTCTTTCATCAAGGCTTTATAGTTTTCAGTTTAGAGATCTTTCACCTCTGTTTATTCCTAAGTATTTTATTTTTTTGGTAGCTATTGTAAATGGAATTATCTTCCTGATTTCTTTTAGAAATGACAAGATTTCTTTTAAAATGATAATATTTTGTCATTAAGAACACTGCCCCCACTCATAATGTATAATAATTTAATAGGGAATATGGAAAATGTGATTTGCTTTTGAACCATGTATGAAGAAAGGATTTGCTAAGCAAATACCTAGAGTAAAGGAGATAATGCCAATCCTAAAAACATTCTTTCTTTCAAGTTGAGAGCCCTCTCATTCAGAACATCGTCATCTAATTTCATGTTATATGTCAAGTGTAGTCCTCTGCTTTCGAAGGCCTGCCTCTGGATCTAGGATGAATTTTGCCATCCTTTAAAAAAAGACTAACTCAGTGTTGGTGAGATGTACTCTAAGCTTCTCCCTGACCTCTCTCCATTTCCCTTCAGCTCTCCTTGCTCTGTTTTGACCCATCACTTATCTTACCAGCCTGTAACAGTTACGCATCCTAATCAGTTACTTCTCTGGCACTCTACTGGCATGAGATGACTTGGTCAAAACAGTTTGCTACAAAACAAAATGCTTGCAATAAAAATTTCTTCAACATGACAACTAAGTCAAAAATTATTCTTTCCAATTGCTGGGTTTTTATGTTTAGTCATTCCGGTGGCCAGAGATTTGCCTAACTGCCTCTTTGGGTCTTCGAGAATGTTTTTGTGCACTCACGCACACACATGTGCGTTTCTTAAGGAATCATATTGTACATAGTGTTTACTACTCTTTTTTTTTTCTCTCGGAGACAGTCTCACTATGCTGTCAAGGCTGGAGAGCAATGGTGCAATATCTGCTCACTGCAACCTCCACCTCCCAGGTTCAAGCAGTTCTCCTGCCTCAGCCTCTTAAGTAGCTGGGATTACAGGCATGCACCACCACACCTGGCTAATTTTTGTATTTTTAGCAGATACAGGGTTTGACCATGTTGGCCAGGCTGGTCTTGAACTCCTGACCTCGTGATCCACCCACCTCGGCCTCCCAAAGTGCTGGGATTACAGGCATGAGCCACTGTGCCTGGCTGCTGTTTACTACTTTTTAAATATTTGCAATGGCTTCATAATATTAAACATGTACATTTTTTTCTTAATCATATAAAAGTTGACTTAGATTAAAAAGCACAAAAGTTGGAAACATACCTAAAAAATTATGATAAACTGACAGTACTGCTTTAAAACTTTAAAGGTGGCAAAACAATTTATATGGAAAACAAGCAGCTGAGAATATTTCTTTTTGACCTATTTATCTACAAATTTAATTTGTTTTCAACTGGATTGCCTGAGGCTCAATCTGTGTCAGTCTAATTCCCACTGTGGTCTGATATGGCTTGACTCCTGCTCCTTTTCTTTAGCAGCACAGTGGGGTAGTTTTGACCCATGCTCTTTGTAACCCACATCATCACTGCTTAGGATTTTCTCTAAGAAGCATTTTTCCTAGAGATGGTCCTACTTATTTGCCAAACCTGTTTTCTTCCTTGACCCCTAGCTACTAAAAGTCCTAACCCTGAGTACTTTCCCCACTTCCCTCCTTTCCTCCCTCCCTTCCCTCCTTTCTTCTTTCTATCTCTAGTAAATTATTTTAGACAAATGGGCTGAGGAGTTCAATAATAACAATAATAAATTAATGACAGCCAAGATTTATGGAATACTTATCATATGCCAGGCACTGCTCTAAGCACTTTAGATGTATTAACACTCATTAACTCCTCAAAAAAAATGCTATAAACTAGGAACTGTTACAATCCCCATTTTACAGATATATACAGATACAGAGGTTAAGTAACTTGCCCAGGGTCACATAATCAGTATTGTCTAGAGTCGTCAGAAAGCAGTCATCATGGCTGGGTGCAGTGGCTCACGCCTGTACTTTGAGAGGCCAAGGCAGGCCAGTCACGAGGTCAGGAGTTCGAGACAAGCCTGGCCAACATAGTGAAACCCTGTCTCTACTAAAAATACAAAAATTAGCCAAGTGTGTGGTAGGCACCTGTAGTCCCAGATACTTGAGAGGCAGGAGAATCCCTTGAACCCAGGAGGTGGAGGTTGCAGTGAGCTGAGACTGCACCATTGCACTCCAGCCTGGGTGACAAAGTAAGACTCTGTCTCAAAAAAAAAAAAGTAGTCATCGTTTAGTTTGCACCAACAATACACAAGTAGAAATTTTTGTTGGTAACTGTGAATACCATAGGAGACTAATCCATAGAATTTAAGGCCATCTTGACTTAGAAAAGCCCTGTTCTGGGTTCCTTTTATGTTGGTAGAGCTAAACAACCATTATGAAAGCATATGCCATGAAAGCCGCCTTTGAGACCAGAGATACACCACAGAGAATTACACCCTGCTTATCTGAATTTGTGGTAGTTATCAGTCTCTAGTCAGCTAAGTTGGGGACAAAGATGATGAGACATGCTTCTGCTAACAGCCTAATTTTTTTTTTTTTTTTGAAATAGATTTTCTCTCTTACACCCAGGCTGGAGTGAAGTGGTGCAATCCCGATCACTGCAACCTCTACCCCCCCGGGTTTGAGTGATTCTCCTGTGTCAGGCTCCTGAGTAGCTGGGATTACAGGTATGTGCCACCATGCCTGGCTAATTTTTGTATTTTTAATAGAGGTGGGGTTTCACCATGTTGGCCAAGCTGGTCTCGAACTCCTGACTTCAGGTGAGCCACCACACCCAGCCAACCAACAGCTTAATTTTAAGGTCACCTACTTCTAGGAAGTTCTGGGTGTCCTGGTGCCCATATTCCATGCTGTAAGATCGTTTACTGTGAGAATCTAAACTTTATAGACCTCACCCAAAGCAGCCACAGATAGTTGGAATTACTGGACAGCTGCATGTCAAGCCTACTGTGACTCCGCAGAGGGGTTCATGCAGTGAAGGAGGCCTCTTACATCACAGTGACTGGCTTTATGTATCTATCTGCCTGAGGAGCCAGACCTGAGTGTTCTACCTGGACCTTCATACTGCTGTACTGGTGAGAAGATGAGGCTTAAATGAAGCATAAAACTCAATTTGTGGTGATCTCTGAGAACCCCAAATCTGCCATGAAACCCTGCTCCACACAATACCTGTGGCACCTGTGCTGAGTAAGGTCCAGTAGCTACCAAACCTACTTTTGAGCTGCATATTAGAGTGAAGCCTTCCTCCCTCCCCTCCCTCTGTCTTACCTTTTGCACAAGTCATAGGCTCAGATGTTATGCCTATTATTGTACTCTGATACAATTATTTTTTTTGCAGTCATGGAATAAGGCCTGTGGATGAGGTA